TTGCAGTGGTAGGGGCGACGAAAATTTTGTTTTTCAAAAGAACCTTAAGCTATAGATATCATGTTAAGAAGTGGTGGACTTTAAGCCTAACACAACCCTACAAAACCAACTTGTAAGGTGAGGTTTATACTTATATATTTTAAATTGGTCTTATCTCTAATCGATGTAAGAGTGTCAACACATAGCATGGTAAGGTTCAACCTCCATGAAAAGGGAAAAACTAAATGGTGTTCGAACTTGAACTACAAGTTACAATAAGATATCTAACTTCAACACTTCATTGGCCTGAATATCATCTACCTGCAGGGGGACTCCCTCTAGATACCAATACCAACAACGACAATCAAATTTTGTATGCAGAATTCAATCTAATTGAAAAGCCATGGTTCTTCCTATTCACCAATTCCCACTAGGCTAACTTCAATAGAAAGACCATACTTCAACTATATATTTGAAACTCACGTATATAAACAAAGTTTCCTCTAGTCACATCATTCCAACACTGTTTGCAAAACCACATTAAGGCAGGTGCAGTTCAACGTCAAGGTAGTAGATGTTGATCTCTGATTAAGCAGATTTGTATCCTTAAAACTATGTTGATGGGATTCATTCAAATAAATTCAACGGTCTCTGTTTGGAAGTATTAAGTATAATTTATATAATGGGAATCAAAATGGTCCTAAGAAAACAAATTGAATCATGAAACCAACACAATAAACATAAAAGTTAAAACTAGATTTGGCCAAAGTGTAAACCAAGTGCAATGATCCTTTATCATATCAGGGTGGTCTTAAAGCCATATGATTGATGAGTACCACAAAGTACTTGGAGAATCTACCCTCAAAAGCTAGTTATTAAGGGGGAAGAACCAAGCACTTGATACTCCACCGAACCTCCCATATTACTTGATGTGGGATTTGAGCACCTCATAATACCAAAGTCACTATCACCTTAGGAGAATTTTGTTCTTAGGAGGATTTTGTGCACCATACAGCAATTTGACTGATAGACAAGATAGCTGATAAATGACCCCTCAATTACCTTTAAAAACTTGTGAGTATCAAAAGCTTCCTCCGCAGAATTCCTGAAACACAATTTAACTAATGTCATAAGATTATTAATAGCATGTCAGGTAACATGGCACACAGAATGCTCCACAAAAGTTTAAGCAAACTCAACAAACTAAGACCAGAAAACATATTCAACAAACTGCATGAAAAAACAAAATCACTATTTTTTATCTGAAATTTTGCTAAAAGAATCCTAACTACCCTATTATGGCAATTAAACAATTTTTACATAGAATAAAAACTCCAATTTAAAAAAAAAAAGTACACACACATCTAAGGTGCCTTGACTAAAAATAAACTTAATAGAAAATGTAAGAAAATAAAATAACCAAGCTACAGTAAATAAGCTAGGCAGAGTGAGCACTGATGACTAACCTAGTCACTACTCATCTCAAACAGCAAATGCAGAAACCAATCATTTAACTATCCCTTCATCTTGCACCATACACGCTTTTTAAGACTAAATGTTCAAAATAAATCAGGCAGTGAATAAGAATTCACTTTATCCATATCTGGTCATCCACAGTCTTTACACATAAATCAGAGTTTCAAATTGTGGATGGGAAAAGCATACTCCTAAATCACATCACAAATTCAATCCATGCACATAGCAAATGTTCAATTGTGCGTTTAGGTTACTTTATATTGAGAAAATAACCACTTTTACTTTAGCTTCTTGAAATTCTTTTAGCAAAAAAAGAAAGAGGTATTTGCAAAATTTAGAGTATATTCACAGTTACCACTGCCAAATGCTAAAATACAATAAAATCATTCCATAAACTAATCTAAAGAGACATGAATGAATTACATTTTAGATTCAAGGTTCTCGTAAGCCTCCTTCACTTTGTCAACAGAACTATAGCTCTCAATTTGCAAAACTGCAATACCCAAACAAACAGAAGTAAAATATCAGTTTCTCAAAAAATAAATAAATAGATAGATTGATTGATAAAGAAGGAATTACCGTCGTAATGAGAACGAGGGAAGGCATTGGGAATAACGAAGAGCTGGTAGTACATGGCTCCGGCGAAGAGAATAATAGGGAGCGTGTAGGCTCTGACGGTGGAAGCCATGGAGAAAAAGCGTGAGGAAGAGGGGTTGGCCGAAACCCTTGGCATGGTTACAGAACCAGGAACGGTGATTCTGTGTTCCTCTGTGTAGTAGTACTAAATGAACAAACTTTTTTTTNCATAAGGTAGAAAAAAGAAATACCAATTTATAAATAAGAGTACTACAGTCCCAAGTCATGAATGCAAACCCACTTCTTCATAACATGTTTGTGAGTAATGATATCCAAAACAGTTTCTGCATATTAATTTCATAATAATTACACTGCACGCCAATAATCACATGCAGTTTACATATCACAAGTTAAATGAATTTAGTCTTTCTCTGAATTAGGACTTGGGACCTAACTCACATCATTGTTCTTTCTAATAAGAGATACTTATTTGAATCACAGTTGTTACTAGCACTCCAATATTATTAGCCCTTTTGACTGTGGGGAGCCTACCAATAACTCAAAACTGTGGAGAGGATACCGAAATCTCAACTAATTGGGCTTTCTCCATGGTCCTTATATGACTTTTGTAATATTATACTTTATATATTGGAGTGTGTAACTTAGCATCATGCTTTCATGTTTTCTTAGACACGTTTCAGATTTACCTTTCAGAAATTTTAGTTTCACTCTACTTTCGGCTGCTCCTTTCAAGTTTTCTTTACAATCTGGAGCAACACTCCCCCTCTTGCCCGGGACTACCAGCTTGGAATGTGGCAAATTCACCTGACCAAATAATCGATCTAAGATAAGCTCTTATACTATCATAAAAATTGGCTGCCTTAATTATCTCTCTATATAAGTCATATTTCTAATAAGTATTTTTTGTTGAGTTAGTCATTTTACAAAATATTGAAACGGAAACTGATATCTCTTTCTCTTTCCTTCTCAGAAACAACAACTTTTGCCACTTCCTGGGCAGCAACACCAACAATGTCTCCATCACAGTTTTTGTGTTCTCCACTGATATCTCTCTTTCCTTCCCAGAAAGAACAGCTTTTGCCACGTCCTGAGCAGCAACACCAACAATATCTCCATCACAGTTTTGGAGAACCCCGTCCTCTGCACTGTTATCCGTTTCTCTTGTCTTCTCCCCATTGGTTGAATTTTCTCCTCTATCTAAAAGTTTCTTGGTTTTCTTGATGTCTAGCATACTATCTTGCACAACATCCCTACTAGGGATGGCAACTGGTCGGGTCGGGTCGGGCACGGATAGTGCCTACCCGCAACCCGACCCGACAAAAAAAAATCCACCCGCTACTCGCACGGATACTCGCTTAAAAAATATCCGCGGGTATTTTAAAACTCGCGGATACCCGTGGATATCCGCGGAAACCCGCAAATATTTAAAAAAAAAATATTTTAATAAATTATTAAAATAAAATTTAAATAGAATTACAAAAAATATATAAAATATAATATAAATTAAATTAAATATAAATTTTAATTCAATTTTAATTAAATTTAATCTTGTAAAATATAAATTAATGTTAATTTTAATTAAATTTAACTTAATAAAACATAAATTAAATTTTTATTTTTATTTTTTGCGGGTAGCGGGTATCCGCGGGTACGGATAGCATAATATCCGCACCCGACCCGTTTATAAGCGGGTATTAAAATATCCGCTATCCGCGGGTTGCGGGTAGTAAATATCCGCGGATATTAACTATCCGTCGCAGACTTTATCCGCGGATATCCGCGGGCGCGGATTTTTTTGTCATCCCTAATCCCTACCTGTTGCTCCCTCTTTCTTTCCTTTCTTGATAGATTTCTTACTTCTTTCTGAGCCCTTTCTGTGATTCTTGGATTTCTACCGCATTTCTTTTATTTCTTGGATATTTCTTCTCCATTCTGCTATCACACCTTCCTTCCAGCACATTCATTCTTGCTTCCATCTCGCTCCTCTCCCAAGGATCTGGCAGGTCGGACCAATTTGTTAGGTTTCTTTTGACAAGAAACCAATCTTTCACTCCTCACAGTACCCACTCACACACAAAAGAAAGCATATGAATGTATTTTGCTTTTGTAATCAAAGAATGAAGTGCTTACAATCTTTCCCCAAGGGAGCACTCTCCCTTCACAGGAACAACCTCCTGTCAATACACTGAATATCAAAAAGCTCCCTTCTACCAAACCCCCCTGCCTTCTTATAAAGGCAACCCACTTCCAACTACCCAACAAAAATTAATTCCTAAACGGTTTCCTTTGTCCTGCACCTGTTACCCATTATAACCTATCATATTATATCCTATCATTTTTGTGATATCTTTGTGTGAATAAAATCTTATGTTTGATTGATCATAAATCTAATGTAAGACCCTTCTCCTTTGTTTAGATTTGAATTAGAAAATTTTTGTTATTTCTTTTAATTGAAAAATAAAAACTTGTAATTAAGTGACTCAGTGAGCTAACTCGTTTAACCCACCAACCAATGGTGGGCTGGACCGGGTTGAAATTTTTTCTACTCGCTAATAAGTGAGTTGGGTTGGGTTTGTTCACTAAGTGACCAACCCGTGGTGGGCCGACCGGGTGGCCCATTTTCACAGTAGTAGCTATCGAAGAGGAGTTGGGACTCGTCATCACGCGCAACAAGAACTTCAAGAGGCACATAAGGGCGTGGGAGATCTAATGAATGCGTCGTTGACGGCTCGGTGGTCACCTGGCCAAGACGATCAAAACCGTATGGTCGTCGGCCAAAACTAGAACTCTAACGACATTGGCAGCGACAGTCGACAATGGCGGTGGTTGCAGTGGTAGGGGCGACGAAAATTTTGTTTTTCAAAAGAACCTTAAGCTATAGATATCATGTTAAGAAGTGGTGGACTTTAAGCCTAACACAACCCTACAAAACCAACTTGTAAGGTGAGGTTTATACTTATATATTTTAAATTGGTCTTATCTCTAATCGATGTAAGAGTGTCAACACATAGCATGGTAAGGTTCAACCTCCATGAAAAGGGAAAAACTAAATGGTGTTCGAACTTGAACTACAAGTTACAATAAGATATCTAACTTCAACACTTCATTGGCCTGAATATCATCTACCTGCAGGGGGACTCCCTCTAGATACCAATACCAACAACGACAATCAAATTTTGTATGCAGAATTCAATCTAATTGAAAAGCCATGGTTCTTCCTATTCACCAATTCCCACTAGGCTAACTTCAATAGAAAGACCATACTTCAACTATATATTTGAAACTCACGTATATAAACAAAGTTTCCTCTAGTCACATCATTCCAACACTGTTTGCAAAACCACATTAAGGCAGGTGCAGTTCAACGTCAAGGTAGTAGATGTTGATCTCTGATTAAGCAGATTTGTATCCTTAAAACTATGTTGATGGGATTCATTCAAATAAATTCAACGGTCTCTGTTTGGAAGTATTAAGTATAATTTATATAATGTGAATCAAAATAGTCCTGAGAACAAATTGAATCATGAAACCAACACAATAAACATAAAAGTTAAAACTAGATTTGGCCAAAGTGTAAACCAAGTGCAATGATCCTTTATCATATCAGGGTGGTCTTAAAGCCATATGATTGATGAGTACCACAAAGTACTTGGAGAATCTACCCTCAAAAGCTAGTTATTAAGGGGGAAGAACCAAGCACTTGATACTCCACCGAACCTCCCATATTACTTGATGTGGGATTTGAGCACCTCATAATACCAAAGTCACTATCACCTTAGGAGAATTTTGTTCTTAGGAGGATTTTGTGCACCATACAGCAATTTGACTGATAGACAAGATAGCTGATAAATGACCCCTCAATTACCTTTAAAAACTTGTGAGTATCAAAAGCTTCCTCCGCAGAATTCCTGAAACACAATTTAACTAATGTCATAAGATTATTAATAGCATGTCAGGTAACATGGCACACAGAATGCTCCACAAAAGTTTAAGCAAACTCAACAAACTAAGACCAGAAAACATATTCAACAAACTGCATGAAAAAACAAAATCACTATTTTTTATCTGAAATTTTGCTAAAAGAATCCTAACTACCCTATTATGGCAATTAAACAATTTTTACATAGAATAAAAACTCCAATTTAAAAAAAAAAAGTACACACACATCTAAGGTGCCTTGACTAAAAATAAACTTAATAGAAAATGTAAGAAAATAAAATAACCAAGCTAAAGTAAATAAGCTAGGCAGAGTGAGCACTGATGACTAACCTAGTCACTACTCATCTCAAACAGCAAATGCAGAAACCAATCATTTAACTATCCCTTCATCTTGCACCATACACGCTTTTTAAGACTAAATGTTCAAAATAAATCAGGCAGTGAATAAGAATTCACTTTATCCATATCTGGTCATCCACAGTCTTTACACATAAATCAGAGTTTCAAATTGTGGATGGGAAAAGCATACTCCTAAATCACATCACAAATTCAATCCATGCACATAGCAAATGTTCAATTGTGCGTTTAGGTTACTTTATATTGAGAAAATAACCACTTTTACTTTAGCTTCTTGAAATTCTTTTAGCAAAAAAAAAAAGAGGTATTTGCAAAATTTAGAGTATATTCACAGTTACCACTGCCAAATGCTAAAATACAATAAAATCATTCCATAAACTAATCTAAAGAGACATGAATGAATTACATTTTAGATTCAAGGTTCTCGTAAGCCTCCTTCACTTTGTCAACAGAACTATAGCTCTCAATTTGCAAAACTGCAATACCCAAACAAACAGAAGTAAAATATCAGTTTCTCAAAAAATAAATAAATAGATAGATTGATTGATAAAGAAGGAATTACCGTCGTAATGAGAACGAGGGAAGGCATTGGGAATAACGAAGAGCTGGTAGTACATGGCTCCGGCGAAGAGAATAATAGGGAGCGTGTAGGCTCTGACGGTGGAAGCCATGGAGAAAAAGCGTGAGGAAGAGGGGTTGGCCGAAACCCTTGGCATGGTTACAGAACCAGGAACGGTGATTCTGTGTTCCTCTGTGTAGTAGTACTAAATGAACAAACTTTTTTTTTCTGAACGTTTAAGGTTCTGGTAGTACTCTTGCTCCCTGGTCAAGTCTTCTCTTTCCCTTTTCATCTATTTCTCATTTGTTCTATGAGCTTTGTAAAAGTTTAAACACTCAAAATTTGAAGAGAACAAATCTCAATCCCAACCATTCACTTTATAATAACTAGTAGAAATATGAGTATCCGTTTTATTGTTATAATAATAAAATATAATTTTTATCATAATTAGTAAAAGATATAATATAAAATAAATGTTTTTTATCATTTTATTTTATATAATTACTTAAATTTTAAATAATTATACAATTTAAAAAATTAAATAATTGATAAACAATTACCAAAAGGAAAATTTGATACAAAATTTTGAGTACATCAAAACAGAATCTTAATAATATATTAGTTTGGCTTTATATTTCTTTTTATCCTTAAATGAACGCGTTTGTTAAAATTTTAATTTTATGATATTCTTTTAAATCTTCTACATGATTTGTAATATCCTTTTCAATATAAAGAAAGATTTATGAACATATTAGAAAAAATTATCTATAAATATATTAAAATTGGAATCACAAAAATATATGATATATATATATATATATATATATATATATAGTTACAATTTTATTAAATCTTTAACTTTAGAATTAATCAATCTCTCCCATAAAAAAATTATTGACTAATCCAAACTTATTGTATTTGATTTGTGTTTTCTATAGCCATAGATATTAGTTTGGTGTTATTTTCTATAAGAAAACTGCATCTGTAGGTTTCCTGTCAATTTTAAAATATTATGATGTTTATTTGCCAATTTCTTTTCCAACCAAATACGCATGAAAAACTTAAAAAAATCTTCAATTTCTTTTTAATTTTGCAGATAAAATGAAATAAATAAATAAATAAATAATGAGCAAAACTACAGTAAATTTGGCAAAAATTTATGTAAAATATATTTTTTAAAAATTGGTAATAATGTTTTGCAAATTAATATTCATAGCAATAGGTATTTTCTTGTAAAAATTTTCTAAGAAGAATTGGCAGGAAATATGCAATTCTAAGTAGTGCTTGCTTAGTAACTTGCAGTAGCTGTCATTATGTTAGACCAGAGCTCTCTACCCATGTACTTGTTGATGTGTCAATCCTTTGGTAAGCAAATATGCAGTATTTATTTCTGACATAACAAAGTAAAGAGAAACAATACCATAAATAATTAAGGTTGTAATAGGTCTCACTCTCATGCTTTTTTTTTATTAAATTTTTTGCTAGACACTATAGATATACAAACTTGATTATTGAAAATAATATAGAAAGTTTTTAAGAAATTTTGTCTCAATAATACCAATATCTAGAGCAATAATCTCTTGTCCCATTATAGATTGTGAAATAATAAATTGTTTAGTATATTTTCATGATATCACACCTCTACCTAAAATAAAAACATAACCAATAATTGATTTTAGGTCATCGAAATTAGAAATTCAATTTGCATCAGTATAACATTCAATAACAATAGAAAGTTTGGCATAATGAATTCCGTAATTAATGGTTCCTTTCAAATACTTAAACACCCTAATGTAGTCCAATGAAAATGATCAGGACTATGTATATATTTTCCTAATCTACCAATTACATATGCCATATTAAGTCTAAATAAATTTGTCAAATGTAATAAGGAATCAATAATTTGAGAATAAATGCCTTCACCTAAAATTTTCTTTAATTTAATAGATCGGTTAAACCGATGTCACATCAAAATAATTGAATTTTTTCAACAACTTTCCTGCATTAACGAGATTTTTTTAAAATAATGTTATAATCTTTCTTTATAAGCTTAACACCTAAAATAGTACATTTACATAACCAAAGTATTTCACATCCTTTATAATATCTCTATTGCTACAAAATATTATTGTCATCTATATATAGACATAAAATAGCATAAACACCACCATTATATTCTTTTACATATACACATTTATCACTATTATTAATATGAAAACCATATGAAAGAATAATTTGATCAAATTTTCCATGTCATTACTTAAGTGTTTGTTTTAAATCATATATAAAGACTTAATAAGTTTACATACTTTATTTTCTTTCTCTGGTTCAATAAAGCCCTTAAGTTGTTTCATATATATTTTTTCTTCTAAATCACCGTTTAAAAAAATAGTTTTAATGTCCTTTTGATGAATTTGTAAATTAAAAATACAAGCAAGAACAATCAAAACTCTAATGATAGTGACTTTTGAAACAGGTGAATATGTATCAAAGAAATCTATACATTTTACTTGTTAACAACCATTAACAAAAAGTTTTACCTTAAATTCATCTATAGACCCATGAGTCATTAATTTTTACCTAAAAATCCATTTAGATCCAATACTTTTACAACCAAGAGAAATATATGTTAAAAACAAAATTTTATTTTAAGAGAATTCATTTCATTATTAATAGCTTCTTTAAAAAAAAAAAGAGCATTAATATATCTCATTGCTTCCCCATAAGTTTTAAGATCATCCTTTTAAGCCGAAAAGAATAAAAGTCAAGACTTAAATCTTTAACCTTTCTTTTTCTTTCACTCCTCCTAGGTTCATTTTGAATATTTTTATTAGCATTTTCACTTGAAGAAAAAACATAACTAGAAGCAACAAAAATAACATTATCACCAAAAGACAAACAAATATTAGAGGTATCACAAACAATTTAGTCAATTTATATTTTAAAGGAAAAATATTTCCAATGAAAATAACATATCTATATTACATAAGAGTATTGTTTGAAATTTCATTCACTTGAATAACTAAGAATTTATAAGTAGTTTTATGCAAAAAGAGTAACTAATAAAAACACATATGTTCCTACTTTTCTATTGAGAATATGAAAAACATAATATAAAGATTCACCCCACATATTTTTAAACAAACCAGAACTTCTAAACATAATCATCACAAAAGTTCTATTTTTCCTTTCAGTTACACCAGTAAATTGAGGACTGTATGAAGGTGAAGTTTCACAAAAATTACTCATTTCTAAAGACATATATTCACCCCCTTTATCGAAATGGAAAATCTTAATTTTTCTTTCTAATTTGTTTTCTACCTTAGACTTATATATTTTGATTTTTTTTCAAAAAAAAAATCACGATTGTGATTTACTAAATACACATAAAAATATTTAAATAAATTACCAATAAAAGTAATAAAATATCTTCATCGCCTGTTAAAACATCATTACTATCACATACATCACTATCTATAAATTAGTTTTTTTTCATACATGAGTAGAAAGACTTTCTTGGTTACTTTGATTGAACACATGTTTCACATTTTTCTTCAAATCAATAGAAGATTTAGAAATAACATCAGGAGACATCAATATTCTAATATAATTTAAATTTATATCCCCTAGTCTAACATGCTACATATCACAACTTTCAACATTTGTAATAATAAAAGAAGAGGTACCAGAAATTTTATTAGAAGAAAAAGACATAAGACTTAACTTAAATCATTACAAATATATCATTTACCTACAAAAACTCTATGTTTAGTAATAATAACTATATTGGACTAAAAACAACTTTGTAACCTTGTTATATTCCAGGTCTTTGTTAATAAGGACTATCGCCTCGGGTCCCAAGCTGACCGAAGCAGTAGAGCAATTTTATACTCCAGGTCTTTATTAACCGATGTCGTATCATCTGCACAGATGTCCGGATGTGTCAGATGCTCAGAAGTGGCAACACCTATTGCTTCGGGTCCCCAGTTGACCGAGGTAGTAGAGCAGAATTCAAATTGTTAGCATCGATTCGCTGTGATCCGAGTCATAAAAGTTCACCTTATTTACAATTTTGCCACCGTATTTTAATAGGTTTCGGTTTCACTAAAACCGAGACCTATTGATCGATTTTAAATCCAGTTTTTTTACTAGTGTAAGCAAATCATAACCTTTCATGTATTGTTTTGTTTATCATTTATATAATATTGTGTTAATATACTATAATAATAGACGAGTAAGAAAGCAATAAGATGCATTTATATATTATATATGAATATTTTATTAGATCTTTTATAGACATCTTCAATTAACTTTATTATTATTTATGAGAATAATTCTCACATAAAACATTTGTATCATATCACAAAGAATTAGAACTTATGAAGGAGTTAATGCTACCTAGAATACATTCTTATAAAAGGTGATAAGCTATACGAAGAAGAAAATTTTGTAGCTTGATTGCCTACATGACCTTATGGACTTTGTGAGAAACATATTCAAATATTTTCACTTATTGATGTTGGATTCTCGTAAAGAATGTTTGTTTGAATAAAATATAAACATATCTTTATTAGCTTTCATGTTTCGGTTAAATTGGTCTCAGGGCGGGTCGTCCTTCATTGCTCTGCTCTCTTTTGATCTTCAATCCTCTCCGAGAATGCAATCCACTTTGATGAGTTGTTGACCTGCAAAAGACACTCAGACGCTAAAGTCAGATATGTTTCATAAAGAGGTCTATATTTTATTGGGTATAATACCTATTTTGGTCCTAATTTTAGTTGGAAATATTCGAAATGGTCCCAATTTTTTTTACTGTTTAATGTTGTCCTAAAGAATGTAATTTGTGTTCAATTTGGTCCTTTTTGCAAACGCCGTTTAAATCATTAATGGCCAGATGTCCAGATGTGCAATTACAGAGTGAAATGTCATGTATTGGCTTACGTGGAGTCCTTTATGGCATTGTGAGTTGGATTTATTCTTTTTTAAATTCTATTTCTTTTACGTGGAGTCCTTTGCTGCTCTTCTTCCTTGGTGTTGCGCGATCAGAGACGAAGAAAGAGTTTTTTTGTTGCAGATCTGTGCTTGTGATTGTAGGATTTCTGATGAAAAAGAGGTGTAAGGGAAAGCTTGCTTATGTGCATCAAGAAGAAACGAAGATAGGATTTTGCCCCTTTTATTTGCGGTGGCTCATGGCGGCGCGATGGTGCTTGCAAGAATTGCCGCTTCAATCTGATTTCTGGGAATGATTTGTTGGGGGTGAATGGAGACAGTGCACGCGAGTGGAGGAGACTGATAGAGAACACACGATTCTATTTAACGTTTTTGCGTTATAGGTTTGTGCGTCAATGGAGGATTCGCGGTGGTTGTTGGGTTTGTTGTTTTTCCGATTGTAGGTTCGGTGATTTTGGATGGAGAAGATGAAATTGCTATCTGGTGGAGGATCTCGCGGCTGACGGTAAGGTTGATGGTGGTGGAGAATGGCGGCCTGATAAGGGTTTCATGGTGGAGATGGAAGTCGAGGAAGACGCTGAAGATGATGATGGAGGACTCGCGACTTTGGCGTTGCTGGTGAGGATGATGGGTGGTGGTCCGTTGCTGGGGTTTGGTGGTCGTCTAGTGACGACACAGTTTCATGGTGGCGGCACAACGTGGCTGACAGCGGCATTGGCTAGGTTAGGGNCTGGGGTTTGGTGGTCGTCTAGTGACGACACAGTTTCATGGTGGCGGCACAACGTGGCTGACAGCGGCATTGGCTAGGTTAGGGAACTAGGGTTTCTGTGGAGAAGATGATGATGTGTCAAGGGGGGTGACATCTGGACATCTGGTCGTTAACGATTTAAACGACGTTTGCAAAAAGGACCAAATTGAACACAAATTACATTCTTTAGAACAACATTAAACAGCAAAAAAAAAAAATTGGGACCATTTCAAACATTCCCAACCAAAATTGGACCAAAATAGGTATCATACCTATTTTATTGTAATAAATTCAGATGTCTTTACCTGGACATTAACCCTATATTTAAAGGGCATATGGCAATCAAGCTCATTAATTCATATTGGATATGACAATAATGTCGTATATTCATATTTGATATGACAATCAAACCATTAATATTTAATAATATACCTCCTAACTGCCCATAAATACCGTATATTTCCCACTGATATGGTCAACAAATGTATTAATTGGTCATTAACGACATACATCTTACCCGGTTCAGAATCATTGAATTATCGGTCGGTATAGATGGTCCTCTTATAGGACGGTCAACTACCCTAAATATTACAAAATGTTTTTACACTAAAATACAGAACATAAATGTGTTTCATTTGATAAATGAAAGCTTTCTAAAACTACAAATTTCCTAAGACACAGTAACATCCTGTCATCTTTGCTTCATCTAATAAGCATAATGGTATCTTATGATAAGTGAAGTCTTCGATCAGACGATAAGAAGATGATATTAAACTAACATACAATCATGTGAAGATTAATTTAGTAAAATTTTAGTTAAAGTTCTTACACTATCTAATATCGTGACTATCTGATAAGTTCAAAAGTGTTTAGTAATACAAAATTATTTGTCTATTCTAAATTTCTCAATTAAAAAAAAAGAGAGATTAAGTAATCCTTTTGAAAAGTTTGAGATTGAGCAATGTAAAAGTATATGTTTGTGCGATCCAAAATGCATTTCCAGATTCAAAATCACATTTTAGATTACATATTCTGAAATATATGTTTACTTTTCCGACACATTATAAATTATACACTCCATAATCACTCTAGTAAACATATTTTGTAATGTGTAATCCAAAACATTTTTCCAAGTCTGGTAACATATCACGGATTACAATCTAGAACGTACTAAAAAAACACAGCCAAATTCATTCCATCCTGAGACACCACACACAATCCCAACAACATAATGAAAAAATAACTACATCTACATTTATTCAGTTGATGAAGAAGGTGATGTAGGATGGAGCAAACCTTCAAACACTTCAATAGGAAGAATTGTGAAGCAATAATGAACTCAGTCTGTAAAAGTGAATGTGAGTGAAGGTGAAGGAAGAGTTAACCTTTTCATATTTTATTAAAAATATATTAGGTATCTCATTTTATGCAAGTGTAAGAATAAAAAAAAGGAATAAAGGTAAAAATGACCTTGGTTGTAGGAAGTAGTCCATGTGGGTTTTTAGGTCACTTCTTCCAACACTCTTTTTTTTTCTTAATTTTGTTTTTTATTTAAAATTTAATAAATATTAAACTTAAATAAAAATTATAATATTATTTATTATATTTTGATATTTTAATAATTAATAAAATATGATTTATATTTTTAAAATAACTCTATTAAGAAAATTAAAAAATAATAACTAAAATAAGAATAAAAATGAAAATAAAAATAATACTTAAAATCATATTTAATATATTTAAATATATTAAATTATATTAAAATATTCAAATCAATTTATTATTATTAAAATTTAAAAAAACAAAATTTTGAAAAATTTGTTATTGGACTATTAGATCCGCTAAGTTCTCAATCAATATCCATCCGATAAGACTGGTTTTTAAAATTTTATTTATATATAAATTTTAATATTATTTAATGTAATTTAATATTTAATCTAAATTTAATATCTTATTTATATTTTATGTAAATATCATTTATTTTTATTTGATAATAAATTGTTTTAAAAAAATTTTTGTTTTTTTATTTAAATTTAATAATTATTTTAAAATTTAATTTAATATTGTACTATACTTTAATATATTTTAAATATATTAATATTTTATTTAATATAATTTTATTTTTATTGTTTCTTCTTTTTATTTTCAATTATTTTATTTTTTATATTTTAATCTCCTATCCTATTTTACCATAAATCATATTTTAATACTTATTAAAATATAAAATTACATATTCCCCATCTTTCGTTTTAACTTCTTTCTTATTCCGATTGATTTATCGTCTTTTTTCCCCCCCCCCGCCCCCCCCCCTCTCTTTCTTCCCGTTCCCCCTCCCCTTTTTCTGTCCGTTCTCGGTTTCGTCTCCTGCCTGCGCGGTCCGTCCGTTCCCCTCGCCTTTTTTGCTGTTCCGCTGCGCTGTTCGCGTTGCGCCTGCCCCTCCTTCTTTTTCTTTTATTTGTTTGCCTCCCCGCCTTTTGTATTGTTCCGGAAGAAGCGGGCCTTAGTTTTTAACTTTGGGTCGGCCCAATTCGTTCAATTGATGCTTAAAAAAACGAAAAAAGCGAAACGGAAGAGATTCTTATTTCTCCAGTACCAGTGTGGTGACTCGTTACTATCCTTCATCGCTCTTCATAACTTCTCAGTCTCCGACTCGGGTATTTTTCTATTTCATTTGTTCTTTTAGCTGAAAAGGTCCCAGATATTTATATACTTGTTTGTTCCAATTCTCTACTTTCTCTTTGTTTGTGCATATGTTTTCTATTGCTTATGCTGTGCGCTTCGACACATCTGTGCTGTAACACTTTCACGAAACCCGACATCAATCTCCATTTCCATATTGCCCTTGATTTAATCACATGGCTTATGCTCATGGTTTGGTTCGGATTGTGTTTTTGTATGTATTAATTGTTTTCATACACTCAAATCCCTTTGTTTTGTTTTTAACTTTTAAATTGTGTCTTTCTTTTTCCCTTTTAAACCAGAAGTCTCGAGAGCCTTAGCGAACCCTCTGTTAACGATTTTAAACTGGAATTAAGAAGGTCTGAATCTAAGAGTTTAGATAGATTATTGCCTCTGTTCGTTATTTTGATAGATATGAAGCATAGATTCATTTTGTTAAGCCTGCTTGTTAGGGCATGGTTTGTCCTTGGTTTTGACTTGGATTTATTCTGTAACTTAGAAAAACAGATTGAAAATTTTTGGATATGAGCTCATTTTATCTTGGGTGTAGTTTGGCCTTCATGGCACACGAACGGTCAACTTCCCATGATTTGTATCAATGGAAACCCCACCCGTGCATTTCTGTCAGACAGATTGGAGTTGTTTCCTAGGAGTTCAATGTTGGATGGAGTAGATAAATTCTCTTTTTTATTTTTTTTCTTTTTCTTTTTACTTGGGAGATTGAGGGCGGTTGCTTGTTTTTTGGCCACCCATTCTTCTCCTTTTGTATCATTTCATCTTTTGTGGATGGTTTAAATTTTCTATGCTCTCCTCTTGATATTTTCATTACTTTTATCTCCAACAGGGAAATCCATTAAGCATATGGTACATTCTGTATTTTTGTTGAAGTTGCTATGCATTATTGCATTTTATTTGCTCTTGCATTATCGTTGTGTGAATCTGTTATAGTCAGTGTCCCTTTGTTATTTGACTCTTACTGGTTTACATTTGCAATCTTCAAATGTTTGGTCTGCTTATACAGTGGAAATTATTTAAGTTGTGATAAACATGGGAAAAGACTCTAAGCCAAAGGAGTCAGGAGGGAAGGGGAAGGGGAAGCAGGCTGCAAGTGGAAGTGATGAGAATGCTTCTAAGGGAAAAGGAAAAGGTGGGAAAGGTGGAGATGGGCTCGGTACTTGCACTTACGTAAAAGGTAAACAAAATTCCAAGATACAATTGTATGCATCATTAGTTCTTTTCAACAATGATTTATTTTTTTGGGCTTTTTATTTCGTTCAGCTAGGCATATTTTATGTGAGAAACAAGGTAAGATCAATGAAGCCTACAAGAAGCTGCAAGATGGTTGGCTCGGCAACGGAGATAAGGTCCCGCCAGCTGAGTTTGCAAAGGTATTTTTCTTTTGGAGGTCATACAATGAATTTTATTTTTGTTTCATTTTTCAAATCCTTATTTTGGTTTTCTGTTCATAAGGGAGCTTAGTTAAATACAGAATATTTTTCTTCCCCCCAATCTGTTCTAAGTAATGTGAAGTTTGATGAATGTCTGTACATTGAAAAGTATAAATACGAATATGTTCATTTGCAATTTAGTCTAGAGCAAATATTTTGGTCAATTATTATAAAAAATATTTCGCTTACCACAGATAGCTCAAGAGTATTCTGAATGTCCTTCGGGAAAGAAGGGTGGAGACCTTGGATGGTTTCCCCGAGGAAAGATGGCCGGGCCATTTCAGGACGTTGCCTTCGGCACACCTGTTGGCGCAACTAGTGCTCCTTTCAAATCAACGTATTCTCTTGCCCTTAACTTTAATTATTCTGATTATCAACTGTGCTCCTTCACTTCATCATTTAGGAAGACTTGCTAATGTTTACTTGGATGATGTTGCAGGCATGGCTACCATATTATCTTAAGTGAAGGAAGAAAGAACTGATCCCTGATTAAGAACGAAGCTGAACAAGGACATCAGAGTACTTAATTTTCTGATATAATTATCTGCTTTCTCTCCTTTTGTGATTGTGGTTGAGAATAGAAACCGACAGTTTCTAGTATGTGTATTGATTTTGCTTTCTAATACTTTGATAATTCAGAGAATATATGTGAATGTGGATGGCTTTACCTCTTTTTTTGTGACGTATTACTGCTTTAATACCAATCATGTAGACCCCCAATTTCATCTTCGAGAAAGATTTATATGACCGCTATTAGGATATCACTGTTAACCATATATGTCTGCATTTAAAACATACCATTCACAAACATAGTCAGCATACTGCAATAGGTATGTGACTTTTACAATCAATCCAACTTATCATCCATGAAGTTCAATCAAATGTATGATATACATCACTAATATTCATAGCCTGTGATATACATTAATATTTAAAAAACCATTTAGTGTTTATATAGTCTGATAAAAAATATATTTTATGCAAGAGACGCCAATTGCTGAGCAAATTCAATTAAAAAATTATTCTAATTGCTTTCTGGTTGAGGTTTGCTTGGTAAATGTAATTCTATTGTGTAACTTCATCTAATTTACTGTAACATTCATCTGATTCATTGGGTGAATTTGAATTTGCTTAGCAAATTTAGGCCTAGAATTGGCCTTCACTTTGGAGTTGAAATTCATTAGCTAAGTCCCAATTTTCTCAGTGAATTGTAAAACCAGTAGTTTTACATCCTACAGAATCAATTTTAAGACTTGTGAGAATCATTCTCTCCATTCCAACCAATTCATGATATTTAAATACACTCATATCACACACATTTCACGTTCCAACAAGCATTTCAATCCAAAATGATCTTTAAAACTCAATATTCTATTCAATTAGATTGCATCGTCATTCCAAACCTAAGTCAATTCAATACAACTAAATCTAATTTGTCGTACCAAGTTTCAAACCTCAAATTAAAGTAGTTTTCCACTGTAACATGCACCATGTCTCCGGAAATCCCAAAATGACCATCCAATATTCCAATGATCCTTAATTGTCATAATATTTCATAAATTTCAGAGGCAGAAACGTAGGCGCCCATTTTAATTTCTATTAAACATAAATCAATATGCCATATTTGATCAAAGAATAACTTCTTACTTGGAAATTATTCGTATTCCAAGTATTTGAAAGAGTTGAAAATTCTTTAAAATTCAAAAAACTCCGGAGCAACAGAATCAAACAATATAATATATTAGTTAAGAGTTAAACTACTTGAGAGAGTAATTTTTTCATTCAATCGAACAAATAATGAACTCTTATATAAATAAGAATTGACAGATTTTCTTTTAGAAAAATCATTATTCTCCAAAAATACGATTTTGAAAAAAAATAAGAAATGAAGGGAAAGGGTCGGATTACGACTCACGAGTCTTATAAAAGTTGATAATTAGTTAAATGGAACAAAAACACGATAATCTTACCCATGAAGATATCAAGAGATCGAAGAGGATATAGAAATAACCACACTGAAAAAAACAAATAATTACATCAAAAGATAAAGATATCGAAGGAAAAATTAAGAAATGAAATAGCTACAAATAATCGGGCTAACACTGAAATACTGAACTAATCTGCTGGTTGACTTCAAAGCATATTGACACATGCATTCAAAAAAGGCGTTCCTTAGATAAAATTGAAAAATAGATTACTCGAAACCGAAAGAGAAGTGGATACAGTAACTACCGTAAAACATGGACGTAGTATAACTGACACAACATGATGTTTTTAAACAGTTATTATAAATTATGTAATTTTTCATTTATTTTACATAAATAGGAAAAATAAAAACAGTTGTTCATATTTAAAAAATGAGGTGACAATTATACTATATTTGAGATTGTCGTGAAGAGAATAATGGCTAATTTAGTATAATGTTTGTTTTATCATTGTTAATTTGTTTTCCTGTATTTACATTTTTAGCGCTTGACATTTTCAGTTTCTCAAATACTTTCACATTAATCCATCTTCATTTTCTTTAATTTTCTTTACTATATTTTGTTTCTATTCTCGTCATTCTATTTTTATCTTAAAAAAAAAATACGATTACTGAAAAGAAATACACTGTAATTGGTATTCACATAAAAGTAACTTAGTGAATTAACTTTATTTGTGAAATTGATCTACAATGTAAATTGTTTATATCAATTTTGTGTTAATTTTAGAATTCTGAATTAAAACACTCTAATTTATATTAAAAAATAATTATTTAGAAGTCTTATGGACAGAATTTACATTAAGTTAATTTAGTTCACTTAAAAAAAAGTTAAATAAATATCAAATCAAAAGTTAAATATGAAAACAAAGGTTTTTTTAAATTTAATCACAGTTTATATGTCAAGAAAAAATAATTAACTTCATAGTTAATCTGATATATGTTGAGTTTGTGTCTAAGTCCGACTTTTTAAAACCGTGATTGAGAATATGATTAGTTTTTACCACTTAAGGTGATTCCATTGATATTTTAACAATTTTTTTAACCATTTTTTATAATGAATTATGTGTTTTATTAGTTCGTATATTTAAAACAGATCGATCACGGTCAAAAAGTTATAAAAAAATTGTTAAAAGAACATTTTTCGATTCTAATGCCATTAGATGTAAAGAAATATAATTAAAAGAAGAAAATTTGTTAAAAATAGGCAGTTACATTCTCGAAGAAAAACCAGTCATGGAGGAAGTTACTATTTCAAACCTAAATCAGTACTACTCTACGCAAGTGCATCCAAATATACACAAGTCACATGTTACCTGTTATCCTAGTCATTCCAATAGATGCTATTAGATTATACACTCAACCGAAACATAGTAATGACGAAGAAAATTTTCTATTTCATGATTTCTATAGGAAACAATAAAAAATTCAAACCAATAACCAATTCTATATTACAACAAAATTTGCAAAACTTATGAGTTATGTCAGTCATGAAGGCATTCATGACCGTAGCAACTTATTGCGAACTAAAGCTGTCTACAAGCTTAAGACCCCAGCTCATATCCTCACAGTGCCGTACATGTGGAACAAGTGCACCAGTATCAGTTCCTCTCTTAGCCTTACAATCATAGAAGGGAGGAGCATGGAAGCATGGCTCCATTGACATGGCACGTTGACAAGCAGGATCAGGGGCTGTTCCATTCTCTGGCTTGTACAGTATCCATGGTTTCAAACCTCCAAGCCCCTGTGCCACATAGCCGAAAGTAGACCACGAGCTCGTGACCAACGCGTCGGTCAAGCTCAATAAGTATATTTCTGCCCAAGCTTTTTGGTTGTGCCTCTTCTTCTCTGTTTGTTGATAACCTTCATGGCTTGGCTGGTAAATGCCAATAATTTCTCCTGTCGCAGTAGGATGTTCCCAATACATGTCTCTCACTTTCTCAAAATAACCAGAGCTCAACGATGTCATCAGTACAGCTTTTGACTTCGGCTTTCCTGATGAGTTAACAAAATCACCCTTTCGATTAACATCAGGCAAAAGATTCTCCTTCAAGGTGCAAGCTAAGATCTGATCCAACACATGTTGAAATGGACCAGTTCCAGTTTCAAACACTCTTATCTGGATGCCTAATTTTTCATCAGCATTAGCTAAATAAGCTTGATAGTATCTACTAACAAGTCCCCAAACTTTGTTGGAGGGGTGGAAAAGATATCGACCCAAGAAATGAAAAATTGTTTCCTTGTTCGGAAAAAGATCACTCAGTTGCTGCTCAAACGACGGCATCAAGAATAGAGATGGGATAAAGTAATTATCTGTTCTCACCGCTAACCATGGTATTTTCTGAAGAAAAGTTTGGTCTTCATCACAGAAGAAAAGTTTGTCTTGATCATCTTAGTCATGTGCTAGATGAAGATAGACAAAAGAGGGCACCACGGATTTTGTAGTTGCTTTATTTTTCACCATTTTCCCGTAACATTGATCAGACTTCTGATCAAATTTGGAAAAGTGACTGTTGAGAGGGAAATCAGGAGGGAGAAACCAGGAAACATGTGGAAACGGTTCACAAAAAAGATCTACCATATCAACTCCAGGATCAACCAATAGAACACGATTCGTGAGGAGGGCGTATAGAAATGCAGAAGCTAAGGTCATTATCCTATTCCCTAGCCCACTATATGAAATCCATACCACATATTTACAAGCAGGGGAATCACTTACATGACCAGACCTGAGATCTTTCACCGTTTTATTATAGGATTCAGTGTAAGGTCCACATTCCTTGTGAAGAGCTTCATATTTTCTCAATCTAGAAATAAGGTAAGGTGAAGGATTTCCTGATAGTCCTTTCCCATACGAGGCAGAATGGTACCTGCTGAAGCAAGATCTTTCATCGAAACCACCTGTTAAAAGGCCACCAAGTAGTTTATCTTTTTGCAACTCAACAGAATCAGATAAGTCACCTACAAGCCAAAGAAGCATTGTTAAACCACAATATTCATCCATGCACATAAGAAGAAAATCAAATATTTAAAACATCTGGAAATGGGAAAATCAGGTCACTACAATAATAGCAACATCAGAAGTCATATTCATCTAGGTTAAATCAGGTACATGAATCACAAAGTGCTTTTGAACTCACCTAAAACCTATGTTCTCAGGGAAAATCAGTTTATTCATTTACAAAACTACAAAAACACACACGGAAAACATCAAGTTCTCTCTCGGATTGAATTCATGTCTGCTTTCTTCAAATTTTGAGTTTGATTCTGACTCAATCGAATAAGTTTTCTCGTGTAACCCCACTTATGTATATTACTTTGATTTTGATTATATCATTAGTCAATATAAGATCAGCAATACTACTTCATGTCAATGTCAAAAACGAAACATCAATTGAACGAAATTCGCAAGACTAAATATTTAAAGATATCGATCAGGCTTATATCTCATCTCAAATTTGTACCTAACTCAATTCCAAAAGTTAAGTCACAAGTCGATATTCACATACAGTATTGTAGCCTTATCAACAGTCACGGTGGGATCTCCAACTATTATTAGCTTTTGCACCGCATACATTTGACGAAGCAAAAATGTAAGCAAAAATGTAGAGAAAACTAGAAAAGACTCAGGTTGTGATTCATCAGAAACAAATCCAACACAGCAGACACATTACACAAAACAAAAACAACCCACATAATTGAACAAGATCTAAAGTCTATCAAGTTGAAATAGAAATGAAGACCAAATCATAAACTAAAGAAGAAGAGGAAGAAACCTTGTTGAGTTTGTTTGAGTTGGAGCAGAGCTTTTATTGTTGGAGATGATTCTATGGGAGGGTGTGGGAAAAGGAAGGTGAGGGAGAAAACGAATAGAGAAAAAAAGAGAGAGAACGCCATGAGACGCGTGAGAGGGAATTTCCTGGTGGATCGCGTGGCGGAATCGGAATCTGGGAGGCTTTCTTCGTCGTGACTGATGTTGCGCCAGTGCCTCTTCATGTGCACTGTGGGTTGAATTCGACCTCAGTTATGAGCTGCTTCTTCCCAAACACTGTCCTGTGTTAGTTACTCTTACATTTCTTTGGAGTTGGAGATCTCTTTCATAACCATAACACCACTCATCATGCCACAACTCAAGTTTTGACTAAACCAGTTTTACTCTTATTTTACAAAACTTAATTATTTATTTAGAGAAAAATTACATTGTAAATTTATGGAGGAGACACTACTCAAACATTATGGTAAGTTAATTTTATATATTTTTAAAATGAAACATGCTTACTATTATGAGATATATAGTAAAATATTGAATTACTTTTACTGAATATGTGGTTGTTTGTCTTCTTCAAATACATGTACTGAATAATATGTCTCTTTTTCTGTTCATTTATTTATTTATTTATTATTTGTCCAATGGTAGAAATATTAAGGTTGGAAAATTTTACTTATAGCAAAAATATTATAAAGGTTAGTTAAATAATATATATATATATATATATATATATATATATATTCTATTTTACTCCACTTTATAACTATAGTTAAATAAAAAATTTATATAATCATAATTATAATAAATGTTGTTATTTTTTTTTCTAATTTATTACTTTTTATGATAAATTTTTTCTTATACTTAATGAAACACATACGAAGAATGTTTACATTTTTTTATAACAATTAAAAATAAAATTATTGTTATTATCATAAAATTAAAATAATTCTTGTAATTTTATTGCAATTAGTTTTTCTTTATTTTGTAAGTAGTTTTATAATTAAAAAAATATTAAGTTAAAGAAATGGTCAAATAAAAAAAATTAAAAATAAGATTGATAAAATATTTATTTAAATTTAAAAAAAATATTAGTTTAAAGAGTAAAATTAAAAAAAAAATATGAAAAAAATATTCATTATATAAGTATAGATTTTGACCATTTTGTTTTTGTTTTTAAAAAGAATAACGGATGGATTTTAGTATTTTGTCCATGATTAACAAAAACATGTTTGACACTGTCAACTCATGATAACAACATGGATTGATGTGTTAATAACATGTTACTAAAAAAATAAAATGTACAGCGTTGTAAAAAGATCAATACAGATGTGCAACATTGTAAATATATAAGGACAAAATCTACATTATAAAAATATGAAGGGAAATGTGCTTGAGAAAATATGAGGAAAAAAATACAAATAGGAATAAATGTTGATGAAAGTGTTGATATTTAATGTATTTGAATCTTATACTTAATATTTTTAATTTTAGAAATATCAGTAAGTTTTAACTTTTATGAACTATAAATATTCATTCTTATATTAGAAGATATTAAGAGTTGGATTGTTCATATCCACTCAACTATCTTTTATTTTCTTACATATTATAATTTTTTATTGTTTATCTCTTTCATCTGCGAAAGATTTTATATATTTCAATAATAATTACAATTTGTCATAGATATTGATATTAATGTTATTGATATAAGATTGGAAAAAATTCAAAATAATTTACAGTACAAGAATGCATAAAATTTTAAATGATTCTTAAAGTATCAATAAATGCATTTAATTTAACATAGGTGTTTGGTAATTGTTTTGTATTGATGAGAAACCATTAAGTATTTAAGGTATATATCTCTATTTTTGCATCATATATCGATTTGGGTGCACAGCCTGACTGGTTGGGTGCAGGGCGTGTGCCCGGAAGGCAGGGTTTGATACCTGTTTACTGCTTTAAGTTGATGCCTTTTTTTAATTTGATGGTGGTGGTGGGAATGATGGTGGAATTTAGGTTATGGATATTTGGTGAATATTAAGTTATTCAAATATATAATTTGGTAATCTATCCCATAATATTTCCTAAAATCTCAAAATCCTATGTATGTGTATATTAGCAAGTGTATATTAGCAAGTGATCAATGTATCTTTTGAATTAAAGTTAACTAGTTATTGGATTCTATGATTTTTATTTTACAATAATTTATTGGTTTAGAAGAATTATACTATAATAATTAAATCATATATTAACAATAATCTATTAGTATATTAGAAAGCAATGAAAATTACAAAACAATAAAATTATTGATAAAATGGACATGTTCCTCTATGATGACTTTCATTGTGACAATAAAACATTTTTTCGATTCATCCAAAATTGGTCGATTCATTTTGTTATGGATTTGAGTAGTAGTTGGTCTTTCAGATGCCTCACTCCACATTTTAAGGCATGATATGAAATTCATACTAGTATAACCGGATTAATAATCTTCATTTATTAATGGATAAAATTGGACTTGATAAACCTTATTTACGATGTCGAAGCTATAAACAATATTGATAAATTTCATTAACAATACATGAGAATATGCACAAACAACTATGATGTGACTACAAGAAAATAAATTTGTTTGAAAGTGGTTACAATCACACCACCATTCTTTTAATTTGACACTACGAAATTGGTGGGGGTTTGATATCTCTTACACCTCAAGTTTTGAATTTTCTCTGTCGTGGACATGACAAAATGTCATTATTGTTGATTTTTTTTAAGAAAAGAAGTAATGTCTTACGGATATTGATGAGTAATAAGAAAGTTTGGGAAGAGATTTCAATACAGTAAATAATGAGACTGCCAAAGTCACATTGAGATGAAGTTATAAAAGTAGTAGTTGATTGATCATCTAAATATGTCCATTTTATTTCTTTTAAACATAGATCAATCCAAAATTGTCTCCACGCTATTTTGTTCTTTCTAAATTGTAGCCCACCTAAGGGAGGTAGCGTATAATAAGCTACAATTTCCAGAAGCATCCAACGTTCATCCTGTATTCCAAGTATTATAGTCCAAGAAATCTCATCAAGGTATATTAGTAGAAATCACAATGCTCCCTGAGATAGAGGTTTAAGATATAAATCCAGTTGTTCCAAAGGCAATTCTAGCATCCAGAGAGAGTAAGCATGATAGCAAGTAGTCATGAATGGCTTATCCTTTGGACTACTCAAACAGTCGGAGAGGCTACTTGGAAAGAAGCAAAGAGAATCAAGGAGAAGTTTCTTACCTTTCTCTTGAGGACAAGGCAAAATTTATATGGGGTGAGATTGATAGGAACCCAATTCCAAAAGATCCCAAACCCCTTGTATACCCGTATGCCAATGATTAGTCAGATTCATTATTACAAAACAAAACAACCCATAGGTAAGGTGGGGGTGAGTCAGTTAAAGGAAAAAAAAAACTCTATTATTTTCCTTTATTCGATCAATCAATCATACATACCGATAGCATTCGGTATAAAAAACACTCATGGATCGCGGGGCAATATCATTGGCAAAACTCATTCGTGAATTCTTGACTCTCATTTTTATCCCTATACTAAACTTCACTGTTGAATCTTGAATTGGCTATACTTGTCATATATAAGTTATTACCACTTCTACTGTTCGAATGTGTAGTTTGTCTCTAGCCTGTTTTTACCTACAATAACAATGGTTGAACTGGGAGCAGAAAAGAAAAGAAACTAAACAACTTTGCGGGATTAGCTTGTACATAAGTAAGCTACCTCTCATTGGTGCTTAATAGGATAGAACGAACTTGGCAATCAACCATAAGCTTCAATGGAACATCATCGCTTATCTGTCATAAAGGATGATCGCCATCAACGATCAGAAATTCACCAACCCCACTTTCCACCTCAATTGAGCTACTACCAGGAGCTCTTGAGTGTTTTATCTGATTCCTCACAAGTATCTTGTTGTTCCACAAGCCTTTATTTGCATAAATATTAGACATAGCAACGCTGTCACCTACAGAGCCAGGATCCAACTTGAGTAGTTTGTGCCTAACTTCGACAGCTAACTCTAATTCACCGTGAACACAGCAAGCTCCCAACAAGGTTCGCCAGACAATCACACTTGGTGGAATTGTCATCTCCATAATGAAGTCATGGGCATCTCTCAGATGCCCACCTCTGCATAAGNATATATATATATATATATATATATATATATATATTCTATTTTACTCCACTTTATAACTATAGTTAAATAAAAAATTTATATAATCATAATTATAATAAATGTTGTTATTTTTTTTTCTAATTTATTACTTTTTATGATAAATTTTTTCTTATACTTAATGAAACACATACGAAGAATGTTTACATTTTTTTATAACAATTAAAAATAAAATTATTGTTATTATCATAAAATTAAAATAATTCTTGTAATTTTATTGCAATTAGTTTTTCTTTATTTTGTAAGTAGTTTTATAATTAAAAAAATATTAAGTTAAAGAAATGGTCAAATAAAAAAAATTAAAAATAAGATTGATAAAATATTTATTTAAATTTAAAAAAAATATTAGTTTAAAGAGTAAAATTAAAAAAAAAATATGAAAAAAATATTCATTATATAAGTATAGATTTTGACCATTTTGTTTTTGTTTTTAAAAAGAATAACGGATGGATTTTAGTATTTTGTCCATGATTAACAAAAACATGTTTGACACTGTCAACTCATGATAACAACATGGATTGATGTGTTAATAACATGTTACTAAAAAAATAAAATGTACAGCGTTGTAAAAAGATCAATACAGATGTGCAACATTGTAAATATATAAGGACAAAATCTACATTATAAAAATATGAAGGGAAATGTGCTTGAGAAAATATGAGGAAAAAAATACAAATAGGAATAAATGTTGATGAAAGTGTTGATATTTAATGTATTTGAATCTTATACTTAATATTTTTAATTTTAGAAATATCAGTAAGTTTTAACTTTTATGAACTATAAATATTCATTCTTATATTAGAAGATATTAAGAGTTGGATTGTTCATATCCACTCAACTATCTTTTATTTTCTTACATATTATAATTTTTTATTGTTTATCTCTTTCATCTGCGAAAGATTTTATATATTTCAATAATAATTACAATTTGTCATAGATATTGATATTAATGTTATTGATATAAGATTGGAAAAAATTCAAAATAATTTACAGTACAAGAATGCATAAAATTTTAAATGATTCTTAAAGTATCAATAAATGCATTTAATTTAACATAGGTGTTTGGTAATTGTTTTGTATTGATGAGAAACCATTAAGTATTTAAGGTATATATCTCTATTTTTGCATCATATATCGATTTGGGTGCACAGCCTGACTGGTTGGGTGCAGGGCGTGTGCCCGGAAGGCAGGGTTTGATACCTGTTTACTGCTTTAAGTTGATGCCTTTTTTTAATTTGATGGTGGTGGTGGGAATGATGGTGGAATTTAGGTTATGGATATTTGGTGAATATTAAGTTATTCAAATATATAATTTGGTAATCTATCCCATAATATTTCCTAAAATCTCAAAATCCTATGTATGTGTATATTAGCAAGTGTATATTAGCAAGTGATCAATGTATCTTTTGAATTAAAGTTAACTAGTTATTGGATTCTATGATTTTTATTTTACAATAATTTATTGGTTTAGAAGAATTATACTATAATAATTAAATCATATATTAACAATAATCTATTAGTATATTAGAAAGCAATGAAAATTACAAAACAATAAAATTATTGATAAAATGGACATGTTCCTCTATGATGACTTTCATTGTGACAATAAAACATTTTTTCGATTCATCCAAAATTGGTCGATTCATTTTGTTATGGATTTGAGTAGTAGTTGGTCTTTCAGATGCCTCACTCCACATTTTAAGGCATGATATGAAATTCATACTAGTATAACCGGATTAATAATCTTCATTTATTAATGGATAAAATTGGACTTGATAAACCTTATTTACGATGTCGAAGCTATAAACAATATTGATAAATTTCATTAACAATACATGAGAATATGCACAAACAACTATGATGTGACTACAAGAAAATAAATTTGTTTGAAAGTGGTTACAATCACACCACCATTCTTTTAATTTGACACTACGAAATTGGTGGGGGTTTGATATCTCTTACACCTCAAGTTTTGAATTTTCTCTGTCGTGGACATGACAAAATGTCATTATTGTTGATTTTTTTTAAGAAAAGAAGTAATGTCTTACGGATATTGATGAGTAATAAGAAAGTTTGGGAAGAGATTTCAATACAGTAAATAATGAGACTGCCAAAGTCACATTGAGATGAAGTTATAAAAGTAGTAGTTGATTGATCATCTAAATATGTCCATTTTATTTCTTTTAAACATAGATCAATCCAAAATTGTCTCCACGCTATTTTGTTCTTTCTAAATTGTAGCCCACCTAAGGGAGGTAGCGTATAATAAGCTACAATTTCCAGAAGCATCCAACGTTCATCCTGTATTCCAAGTATTATAGTCCAAGAAATCTCATCAAGGTATATTAGTAGAAATCACAATGCTCCCTGAGATAGAGGTTTAAGATATAAATCCAGTTGTTCCAAAGGCAATTCTAGCATCCAGAGAGAGTAAGCATGATAGCAAGTAGTCATGAATGGCTTATCCTTTGGACTACTCAAACAGTCGGAGAGGCTACTTGGAAAGAAGCAAAGAGAATCAAGGAGAAGTTTCTTACCTTTCTCTTGAGGACAAGGCAAAATTTATATGGGGTGAGATTGATAGGAACCCAATTCCAAAAGATCCCAAACCCCTTGTATACCCGTATGCCAATGATTAGTCAGATTCATTATTACAAAACAAAACAACCCATAGGTAAGGTGGGGGTGAGTCAGTTAAAGGAAAAAAAAAACTCTATTATTTTCCTTTATTCGATCAATCAATCATACATACCGATAGCATTCGGTATAAAAAACACTCATGGATCGCGGGGCAATATCATTGGCAAAACTCATTCGTGAATTCTTGACTCTCATTTTTATCCCTATACTAAACTTCACTGTTGAATCTTGAATTGGCTATACTTGTCATATATAAGTTATTACCACTTCTACTGTTCGAATGTGTAGTTTGTCTCTAGCCTGTTTTTACCTACAATAACAATGGTTGAACTGGGAGCAGAAAAGAAAAGAAACTAAACAACTTTGCGGGATTAGCTTGTACATAAGTAAGCTACCTCTCATTGGTGCTTAATAGGATAGAACGAACTTGGCAATCAACCATAAGCTTCAATGGAACATCATCGCTTATCTGTCATAAAGGATGATCGCCATCAACGATCAGAAATTCACCAACCCCACTTTCCACCTCAATTGAGCTACTACCAGGAGCTCTTGAGTGTTTTATCTGATTCCTCACAAGTATCTTGTTGTTCCACAAGCCTTTATTTGCATAAATATTAGACATAGCAACGCTGTCACCTACAGAGCCAGGATCCAACTTGAGTAGTTTGTGCCTAACTTCGACAGCTAACTCTAATTCACCGTGAACACAGCAAGCTCCCAACAAGGTTCGCCAGACAATCACACTTGGTGGAATTGTCATCTCCATAATGAAGTCATGGGCATCTCTCAGATGCCCACCTCTGCATAAGAGATCCACCATACAGCCAAAGTGAGCCTCTTTAGGCTCTATACCATAAACTTCACTCATGCTTCTGAAATGCCACTTTCCTTCCTCAACCAACCCTGCATGGCTGCAAGCCATTAAAACTCCAATGAATGTTACGTCATTTGGGGTCATGACACAATCTCCCTTGTCTCTACCTGAGCTCATTTCTGAAAAAAGTTGAAGAGCGTCACTTGCTTGCCCATGGACTGCATGCCCCACGATCATGGAAGTCCAAGTTGTGACATCTTTCTTTTTCATTCCATCAAACACCTTCCTAGCCGTCACAACATCCCCACATTTCGCATACATGTTTATAAGAGCATTATCCAAACACAAATCTCTGTTCAGCCCTGTTTTACACCTGACCAAGGCATGAATCCATTCACCCATTTCCAGTGCCCCGGTCTCAGCACAGGCAGAGAGGGCAACGGTCACAGTGACTTCATCAGGTTCCACATTGTTCCTTTGCATCTCTTTGAACAGTTGCAAAGCTGTCCCAGGCTTGTGGTTGTCAACATAGGCGGATATCAAAGAGGTCCAGCATATGGTATTCTTAGAGGGTATTTGAACGAACACTTGGTGTGCATCACGTAGGTTGCCACTCTGGGCGTAGACTTTTAAAAGGGATGTCTGGAGTTGAACTATGGCTTGGTACCCAAGTTTTACGATGAGGGTATGCAGTTGTTTTCCTTGGGTGGAGGAGTGTTTATTGTTGCAGGCTTTGAGGGCATAAAGCAGAGAAAAGCTGTCAATGGCGTTGAAAGTTGGTCTTTTTCTTAACAAGGATCTGAAGAGGAGAAGCACTTTGGTGTGCCTATTGCATTCAAGGTGATTCCTAAGGGTTTGGTTGGGTTTTGGTGGTTTGAGGCCAATGGGGAACTCAGCTTTGTGATTGCACGTGGACATGGAAACATGAATCAACCGGTTCGCACAGCTTCCAAGCAAAGAGTTGAACCATTTTAAGTGTGTCATGAATATCACACGTTCAGTTCTGCGATGTTATGCACTTATGTATACAACTCACTACCCTTACAACACTCATTTGATCTCAATGAACTTGCTTAAATTGGTTTTTTAAACAAAGTGGGTTAATTTCTTTTTTTCAAAATTTTGGATATGGTTATGGGAATTAAAGTTTTGAAGTGAAATGGTCGTTGTGACGATTTTATTAAAATTGAATTCAAACTTTTATTGATGAATTTAGTATTATTGAAACAGAGAAGTAGATACAGAAAGAGAGCAAACAACAAAAGTGAATGAATGAAAAATATTGATTATTGCAACGGATAAAAGCAAAGCTATATATACAAAGTTTAGTTACTGATAAAACAGTAACTGAAAGTAACAGAAAACGAATTGAATATTGTTTGGATTACACCACAATACTCTTCCTTAATTTAAACTTCATTGAAAGAAACAACACCAATTCTTCTTTTCAGAAAATCAAATCTTTCACCAGCCAATGCTTTAGTAAACACGTCTGCCAACTGCTCCTCAGTTTTGCAAATTGAGAGCTCAATTCTCTCTTTATTCACCATGTCTCTCAAGAAGTGATACTTCACTTCTATATGTTTGCTTCTCCCATGCTTTACAGGATTATTTGCCAGATTGATAGCAAAGGTATTGTCCATCATTAATTTCACAGCATTCTCCCTCGTAACCTTTAGTTCTGACAGTAATTCTTTAAGCCAAATACCTTGGCAAGCTCCACAGCATCCTGCTATATATTCAGCCTCGCAACTGGACAATGCAACTATAGACTGCTTCTTTGAACACAGCGAGATAGGTGCCTCGTTCAGGAAGAAGATGTATCCTGAAGTGCTCTTCCTTTCTACCATATCTCCTCCATAATCTGAGTCACAAAAACCTATCAACTCCAGCTCACGTTTCTTTCTTCCATAAGAAAATAAGATTCCAGTATTCAAAGTGCCCTTTATGTACCTGATTATGCGTTTTACAACAAGTAAATGACTTCTCCTGGGTTGATTCATGAATCTGCTCGTTACACCAACACATAATGCTAGATCAGGTCTGTTATTGCACAAAAATCTCAGTGATCCAATCATTTGTTTATACAACGTTTCATTTACCGTTTCCTCTGCATCATCATTCATCAACTTGACATTCACCTCCAATGGACTTTTCACAGGCACTGATTCGTTTTAAATCTCTCAAGCAAATCTTTCACATACTTACGCTGATGCATAATCATCCCAGCCTCGGTATGCATGAATTCCATGCCAAGAAAGTAATTGAGTTTGCCAAGATCTGTCATCTCAAACTCAGTCTGCATCTTCTTCTTAAATTCTTCAATATCTTCTATGTTTGAACCTGTTATCAAAAGATCATCTACATACAAACAGATGATTACCAATTCTCCACCCGAGGCTTTAACATATACTCCATGTTCAACAATACACTTGTTGAAACCCAGATCAAGCAAATACGAATCAATCCTTTTATTCCAGACCCTGGGTGCCTGTCTTAGACCATATAGAGCTTTGTGCAGTCTATACACCCTGTGCTCTTTACCCTTTTCACTAAATCTGGGAGGTTGATGAACAAACACTTCTTCCTCCAATGCTCCATGCAAAAATGCCGACTTAACATCCAATTGAAACAACTGCCAATTTCTTTCACATGCAATTGCAACAACCAAGCGAATGGTCTCCAATCTGGCTACAGGGGCAAAGACTTCAGTAAAATCCACACCTTGTTTGCAGAAACCCTCTGGCTACCAACCATGCTTTATGCTTTGACATTGTGCCGTCTGGGTTTAGTTTTCGTTTGAAGACCCACTTCACACCGATACACCGCTTTCTAGGTGGCAAATCAACAAGTTGCCATGTTTTGTTTTTCTCGATTGACCGAAGCTCATCAATCATTGCTTCCTTCCACACGGGTTGCTTTAAAGCTTCATCCACTTCCACGGGTTCTTCCCCAGCCATAAGTGTTATATGTAGCACATCTCCTTCTTCATTTATCTATGCATCTGAATATAGCTCATAGTCNTATATATATATATATATATATATATATATATTCTATTTTACTCCACTTTATAACTATAGTTAAATAAAAAATTTATATAATCATAATTATAATAAATGTTGTTATTTTTTTTTCTAATTTATTACTTTTTATGATAAATTTTTTCTTATACTTAATGAAACACATACGAAGAATGTTTACATTTTTTTATAACAATTAAAAATAAAATTATTGTTATTATCATAAAATTAAAATAATTCTTGTAATTTTATTGCAATTAGTTTTTCTTTATTTTGTAAGTAGTTTTATAATTAAAAAAATATTAAGTTAAAGAAATGGTCAAATAAAAAAAATTAAAAATAAGATTGATAAAATATTTATTTAAATTTAAAAAAAATATTAGTTTAAAGAGTAAAATTAAAAAAAAAATATGAAAAAAATATTCATTATATAAGTATAGATTTTGACCATTTTGTTTTTGTTTTTAAAAAGAATAACGGATGGATTTTAGTATTTTGTCCATGATTAACAAAAACATGTTTGACACTGTCAACTCATGATAACAACATGGATTGATGTGTTAATAACATGTTACTAAAAAAATAAAATGTACAGCGTTGTAAAAAGATCAATACAGATGTGCAACATTGTAAATATATAAGGACAAAATCTACATTATAAAAATATGAAGGGAAATGTGCTTGAGAAAATATGAGGAAAAAAATACAAATAGGAATAAATGTTGATGAAAGTGTTGATATTTAATGTATTTGAATCTTATACTTAATATTTTTAATTTTAGAAATATCAGTAAGTTTTAACTTTTATGAACTATAAATATTCATTCTTATATTAGAAGATATTAAGAGTTGGATTGTTCATATCCACTCAACTATCTTTTATTTTCTTACATATTATAATTTTTTATTGTTTATCTCTTTCATCTGCGAAAGATTTTATATATTTCAATAATAATTACAATTTGTCATAGATATTGATATTAATGTTATTGATATAAGATTGGAAAAAATTCAAAATAATTTACAGTACAAGAATGCATAAAATTTTAAATGATTCTTAAAGTATCAATAAATGCATTTAATTTAACATAGGTGTTTGGTAATTGTTTTGTATTGATGAGAAACCATTAAGTATTTAAGGTATATATCTCTATTTTTGCATCATATATCGATTTGGGTGCACAGCCTGACTGGTTGGGTGCAGGGCGTGTGCCCGGAAGGCAGGGTTTGATACCTGTTTACTGCTTTAAGTTGATGCCTTTTTTTAATTTGATGGTGGTGGTGGGAATGATGGTGGAATTTAGGTTATGGATATTTGGTGAATATTAAGTTATTCAAATATATAATTTGGTAATCTATCCCATAATATTTCCTAAAATCTCAAAATCCTATGTATGTGTATATTAGCAAGTGTATATTAGCAAGTGATCAATGTATCTTTTGAATTAAAGTTAACTAGTTATTGGATTCTATGATTTTTATTTTACAATAATTTATTGGTTTAGAAGAATTATACTATAATAATTAAATCATATATTAACAATAATCTATTAGTATATTAGAAAGCAATGAAAATTACAAAACAATAAAATTATTGATAAAATGGACATGTTCCTCTATGATGACTTTCATTGTGACAATAAAACATTTTTTCGATTCATCCAAAATTGGTCGATTCATTTTGTTATGGATTTGAGTAGTAGTTGGTCTTTCAGATGCCTCACTCCACATTTTAAGGCATGATATGAAATTCATACTAGTATAACCGGATTAATAATCTTCATTTATTAATGGATAAAATTGGACTTGATAAACCTTATTTACGATGTCGAAGCTATAAACAATATTGATAAATTTCATTAACAATACATGAGAATATGCACAAACAACTATGATGTGACTACAAGAAAATAAATTTGTTTGAAAGTGGTTACAATCACACCACCATTCTTTTAATTTGACACTACGAAATTGGTGGGGGTTTGATATCTCTTACACCTCAAGTTTTGAATTTTCTCTGTCGTGGACATGACAAAATGTCATTATTGTTGATTTTTTTTAAGAAAAGAAGTAATGTCTTACGGATATTGATGAGTAATAAGAAAGTTTGGGAAGAGATTTCAATACAGTAAATAATGAGACTGCCAAAGTCACATTGAGATGAAGTTATAAAAGTAGTAGTTGATTGATCATCTAAATATGTCCATTTTATTTCTTTTAAACATAGATCAATCCAAAATTGTCTCCACGCTATTTTGTTCTTTCTAAATTGTAGCCCACCTAAGGGAGGTAGCGTATAATAAGCTACAATTTCCAGAAGCATCCAACGTTCATCCTGTATTCCAAGTATTATAGTCCAAGAAATCTCATCAAGGTATATTAGTAGAAATCACAATGCTCCCTGAGATAGAGGTTTAAGATATAAATCCAGTTGTTCCAAAGGCAATTCTAGCATCCAGAGAGAGTAAGCATGATAGCAAGTAGTCATGAATGGCTTATCCTTTGGACTACTCAAACAGTCGGAGAGGCTACTTGGAAAGAAGCAAAGAGAATCAAGGAGAAGTTTCTTACCTTTCTCTTGAGGACAAGGCAAAATTTATATGGGGTGAGATTGATAGGAACCCAATTCCAAAAGATCCCAAACCCCTTGTATACCCGTATGCCAATGATTAGTCAGATTCATTATTACAAAACAAAACAACCCATAGGTAAGGTGGGGGTGAGTCAGTTAAAGGAAAAAGAAAACTCTATTATTTTCCTTTATTCGATCAATCATACATACCGATAGCATTCGGTATAAAAAACACTCATGGATCGCGGGGCAATATCATTGGCAAAACTCATTCGTGAATTCTTGACTCTCATTTTTATCCCTATACTAAACTTCACTGTTGAATCTTGAATTGGCTATACTTGTCATATATAAGTTATTACCACTTCTACTGTTCGAATGTGTAGTTTGTCTCTAGCCTGTTTTTACCTACAATAACAATGGTTGAACTGGGAGCAGAAAAGAAAAGAAACTAAACAACTTTGCGGGATTAGCTTGTACATAAGTAAGCTACCTCTCATTGGTGCTTAATAGGATAGAACGAACTTGGCAATCAACCATAAGCTTCAATGGAACATCATCGCTTATCTGTCATAAAGGATGATCGCCATCAACGATCAGAAATTCACCAACCCCACTTTCCACCTCAATTGAGCTACTACCAGGAGCTCTTGAGTGTTTTATCTGATTCCTCACAAGTATCTTGTTGTTCCACAAGCCTTTATTTGCATAAATATTAGACATAGCAACGCTGTCACCTACAGAGCCAGGATCCAACTTGAGTAGTTTGTGCCTAACTTCGACAGCTAACTCTAATTCACCGTGAACACAGCAAGCTCCCAACAAGGTTCGCCAGACAATCACACTTGGTGGAATTGTCATCTCCATAATGAAGTCATGGGCATCTCTCAGATGCCCACCTCTGCATAAGAGATCCACCATACAGCCAAAGTGAGCCTCTTTAGGCTCTATACCATAAACTTCACTCATGCTTCTGAAATGCCACTTTCCTTCCTCAACCAACCCTGCATGGCTGCAAGCCATTAAAACTCCAATGAACGTTACGTCATTTGGGGTCATGACACAATCTCCCTTGTCTCTACCTGAGCTCATTTCTGAAAAAAGTTGAAGAGCGTCACTTGCTTGCCCATGGACTGCATGCCCCACGATCATGGAAGTCCAAGTTGTGACATCTTTCTTTTTCATGCCATCAAACACCTTCCTAGCCGTCACAACATCCCCACATTTCGCATACATGTTTATAAGAGCATTATCCAAACACAAATCTCTGTTCAGCCCTGTTTTACACCTGACCAAGGCATGAATCCATTCACCCATTTCCAGTGCCCCGGTCTCAGCACAGGCAGAGAGGGCAACGGTCACAGTGACTTCATCAGGTTCCACATTGTTCCTTTGCATCTCTTTGAACAGTTGCAAAGCTGTCCCAGGCTTGTGGTTGTCAACATAGGCGGATATCAAAGAGGTCCAGCATATGGTATTCTTAGAGGGTATTTGAACGAACACTTGGTGTGCATCACGTAGGTTGCCACTCTGGGCGTAGACTTTTAAAAGGGATGTCTGGAGTTGAACTATGGCTTGGTACCCAAGTTTTACGATGAGGGTATGCAGTTGTTTTCCTTGGGTGGAGGAGTGTTTGTTGTTGCAGGCTTTGAGGGCATAAAGCAGAGAAAAGCTGTCAATGGCGTTGAAAGTTGGTCTTTTTCTTAACAAGGATCTGAAGAGGAGAAGCACTTTGGTGTGCCTATTGCATTCAAGGTGATTCCTAAGGGTTTGGTTGGGTTTTGGTGGTTTGAGGCCAATGGGGAACTCAGCTTTGTGATTGCACGTGGACATGGAAACATGAATCAACCGGTTCGCACAGCTTCCAAGCAAAGAGTTGAACCATTTTAAGTGTGTCATGAATATCACACGTTCAGTTCTGCGATGTTATGCACTTATGTATACAACTCACTACCCTTACAACACTCATTTGATCTCAATGAACTTGCTTAAATTGGTTTTTTAAACAAAGTGGGTTAATTTCTTTTTTTCAAAATTATGGATATGGTTATGGGAATTAAAGTTTTGAAGTGAAATCGTCGTTGTGACGATTTTATTAAAATTGAATTCAAACTGATGATTTTAGTATAATTGATTTTGAACGAGAATTCTGATGTGACGATTTTAATATAATTGAATTTGAATTGAAATTGTTATTCTCATTGACAATTTATTGATTATTTCTCGTTATTAACTTCATTGTTAACTTTAATGTAATTGATATCAAATATAACGAAGTTGACAATAAGGATGATAATAAAATCAATTACATTGGGGTCAGTAATGGGATGACAACAAAATCAATTATACTAAAATTGTTAATGAAGATGATGACTTCAGTTCAAATTCAATTACATTAAAATCGTCATAGGACATGATGACATCAATTCAAAACTTTAATTTGTACAAAAATTAGACTTTACTTTCATAGAATAAAGTTGTGCAACCGTTTAAATTCCATGAAATGAATTTTTTTTTTTACTTCCAATGCACAAGCATAGAAGAAGGAAACAATAATTTTTTTTCCCACTTTACAATACAAAAACTACAAAGAAAATAAGAAATTGGATTAAATTCACTTGAACCGTAACATACTCGGACATGTTTTATAGAAGGAAAAATTAACTTTTTCAAAATTTATATAGAAGCATGTTTTCTACTTTTTTTTTTAGAAGGAAGATTTAACTTTTTCAAAATTTTAAATTTGAAAAGTATGTTTTTTACTTTTAGGTTATTTTTCAAAAGATAATATTAGTAGAAATCAAACTTTTCAAATATGATATTGATAAGTGTTTTACTTGAATTAATATAAACTTTTTGACAGTTAAAATACATTAATTTAATATATTTTTGACTGAATATCCTTATAGCTTACAAATATATAATACTGAGAATTAAGTAAGATGATTTTTTTATGTTAAATATGTAGCACTTTTACATAAATAGAAAAGTGTGGAATTAAGTATGATTTGAAAATTTGATAAAAATGTAGCAGTTTTACATAAAATAGAAGAATTATTCAACCGAGTTTTAGAAATGTGTTGAGCACGGAAAGACANTGACATCTCTACTAATCACCATCTTCTTGTTGACTGGATCATACAATTTATACGCTCCAGTCACATGATATCCTACAAACACCATCGGCTCTCCCTTATCTTCGAGTTTGGATCGTTTCTGGTCTGCAACATGCACGAATGATAACGATCCGAACACTTTAAAGTGCGTTACAGATGGCTTCTCCCCAGTCCAGACTTCAAGTGTTTACCCTCTACTTTCTTTGTAGGACACCTGTTTAGTATGTACACAGTTGTCGACACAGCTTCTGCCCAAAAATTTCGTGGCAACCCTTTTTCTTTGATGAGACATCTTGCCATATTCATGATGGTGCGGTTTCTCCTTTCCACCACGCCATTGTGCTACGATGTATAAGGTGTGATAACTTCATGCGTGATTCCATTATTCTGACAGAAGCTTTCAAAGTCAAGTTGGGTGTATTCTCCCCCTCCATCCGTTCTGAGAATTTTCAACACCTTACTACTCTCCTTTTCTACACGAGTCTTATACCTTTTGAACAATTCCAGGACTTCACTTCTTGCTTTGATCAAGTACACCTACATCATTTTGCTATGCTCATCAACAAATGCAAGGAATTATCTGTTGCCTGCCAAAGAGGATACCTCAATCGGACCACAGACATCAGAATATACTATTTCAAGACACTCCTTTGATCTCTTCTTTAACTGAGTTTGGAAAGGCTTTCTGGTTTGCTTTCCTGTCAAACACGACTCGCATGCATTTACTGGTACAGATATATTTGGCATACATGACACCATACCATTCTCACCAAGCCTCTGCAAATCTCTGAAGTTCAAATGACCAAATCGTAAGTGCCACAACCAACTATCTTCTTCTTTTACAGTAGCCAAACACTGTAGATTCTCAAACGCCTCCAAACTGACTTGAAAGGTTCTGTTCTTTGAGATTTTGCTTCTCAGAATTAGCTTCTTATGATTGTCAAAAAGCTCCACCCTATCATTGTTTCCCATGATCACAGTATATCCCTTCTCGACTAGCTGCCCAATGCTAAGAAGGTTACACTTCATTGCCGGAACAAGCAAAACATTGGAAATAATTGCCTGTGAACCATTTCTTCGTTTGATGATTATATCGCCCATACCTTCAACCATCACGTACTATTATCTGCAAATTTGACTCTGCTTTTCTTGGTGCTGTCAAAATTAACCAGCCATTCCCGGTTATAAGTCATATGATTTGAGCAGCCCGAATCAAGATACCAATTATTGGTCAACGGTTCCATGCAATTAGTAGTCGTCATTACCATCAAGGTCAATGGCTCTGAGTTTGATTCTTCTTGCGCAAGGTGAGCTTCTTTACCTTGAAATCTTTTCTTCTGTTTGCCTTTTCTGAGAAACATTCGTATGCAAAGTGCCCGAGTTTGTGGCAGTTGAAGCATTCAATGTTTCGTTTATCTTTCTTTTTCCAACCCTTCTCAAATTTGTTCTTCTTTTCTACAGAATCAGATTTTTCATCTGATTCATCCGCACCACTACTTTCTTTCCTCTATTTTTCTTTTCTTGACTTACCTTTCCACTTCTTGAGATTCTTTTTCTCATCATTCTTGATATGGTGAACTTTTAGAGCCTGCTCATCAATCTGGACATAATTCCTCTCACTCATTCTCATCTCGTGAGCCTCCAAAGCACTTTGGAGTTCTTCTATTTTTAACCTTTCAAGATCCCTTGATTCCTCGATTGCCACCACAATGTGATCAAACTTCTGGGGCAACGATCTCATTATCTTCTCTATTACCATGAGATCAATAATCGTTTCACTGCATCTTTTCATTTGATTTGAAGTTGTCAGCACTTTGTTGAAGTACTCGCTCACCTTTTCTCCTTCATCCATTTGCAGATGCTCATACTGCCTCCTTAACGTTTGTAACTTCACTTTTCTTATTTTATCTCCTCCGGCATGGCGTCTCACCAGTATACTCCAAGCCTCTCTTGCTGTGGCTGCATTCTGAATCATCTCAAAATGCACATCATCCACGCATTGATGNTACAAGGAAAAGAAAAGACACATATTTAATATGTTTGTTTTTATTCGTGAGGAGTGATTAGAGAGGATGGGTTGAGAAGCACCCAAGATCTTGTATGTTTGTCCTTCTTTTAGTTCACTTTAAAAATGTACAATTTCTTAGTGGTAGAGAAAATGAGTTATAACTTGTTGGTAGGGGTGGGCAAACTCCCGTATAATGTACTGCACTATTATAATCTATAGATAACTATAAACTATTTCAACAGAACTGCACTAAACTAAAAAATAGTTCAGAAACTGAACTATTTTTTAGTTCACTCATACTGCAGTACAATTCAGTTTGCATCAAAAACACTCTTCTTCATATGTTTCCCTTTCACGTTCAGTAATGGAAACACACAAATGCAGTGGCCAATTTATGCGACTTCGAGCTAACGGTGCATAAACAACTCACAAAACTCTTCAATCTAATAATTCATCAAATCAAATTACCCATTGTCTTCTTTCAATCTTCTTGATTCTCTTTCCGCCACAACATATGTATGTGCATGTCAATACTCTATTTAATGTAAATGATTCACCATCAAAATACAAAAAATATATATTTCTTACCAAGGGAACAACAACTTTATGCAATGAGCATTCCATAAAGAATCTGTCCTTGTTTCTTCAGTCATTTATAAAGGATAGCAATTGACTACATCATTATTGTAATGTAAGTTGAAGAATATATGATAAATAAACAACACTTTCAACCCGGTAAAATGGAACATCTTAGTTAAATCAATTGCTACTTCGACAAGATTAACAAAAGTACTTGGATGTGATGATAACAACATGGTTAAATTTGTTCTCTTAAGTAATCCACTTGCTAACTGGCAGATTCTACACCGTCCTCCCTGTTTTCTTGGAAACATTTTTTGCTCTGATAAAGCTTTAATAATTGAGACGATTCCTCCTTAAAACGCATCACAAAACTTTTAAGAAACAACTCTTCAAAAACACCAAACAGGGTATACAACTTGGCACTCTTCTCTCTCAAACCTTTATCTTGGAAGGGTCGAACCCCATTTCCTTAACTTCATCAATAGTCTCCCTCAAGTTAGTAGACAAGAATATAGAGAGCCTCCCTCTGAACAAATAGCCGATGCCGGAGTCCTTGACTCCAACATCAAACAACATGTCCACATTTTGCGCTCCAACTTTATATCGAAGGAAATGTCTACTATAGAAAACACAATCAATGGTTTTCTGGTCAGATTGGAGGAAGCTTCTCACCAATTCGAAGGAGGGGATCACGTTGTTCTTGAGGCTGGATACGAGGATTCTGGGGCACCTATTAATGAGGCGAATGATATTAGAAGCAGAAGCACCTTTTGAGCGTAAAAATTGGAACTTTGGCGAAAGCCTCTCGTCAGCATTGCATATGAGTATGTTGGGTAT